TTTCTTTTCAAATATTCATCTATTGCCATTACGTGCTGCGCTCTCTCACATCACAACTATTATTTCATTTCTCTTTCGTCTTCTTCTGTTTTACTGGCAGTTTGCAACCCATTTAATTAGAGCAGGTGGTTGTACTGCCCTCTAGTGGAAGAGAGATTAAGTTCAGAGGCTCAATGGCCCGAGAACAGGGATTGGGCTCAAGCGCAGAACCAAAACCGGAGGCTGAATGACTTTTAACGGTTTTATTTTACAGGTGTCTTAAACAGAGGAACAAAAGCCAAATGTAACAGCGAGGGATGACAAGGCTTTGTGAGCCAGAGCACAAGCTGCATCAGGTCACAGGAATAGCAGGGGCAGGAACAGGGCAGTGAAATAGAAGAGATAATAATCAGAGTGGTCCGCAGAGCAGTGAAGGCATCCAAGACTTCAAAGTTGAGAGGTCTTATATGGTTGCAGGTGGAGATTAGCTGGAGGAGGTGAACTGGATCCGGGTGAGTGCAGCGAGGCAGGTATGAGCTTCACCAGCAGCAGACCAGAATCCTGAGGCGTGATTATGGGGAGAGTTGGAAAGATGTATCCAGGCACCGACTGGAGAACAGGAGAAGATAGTTAAGCACAACATGCTGAGGAACGTGAGGCAGTGAACTGACTATGGTAGGAAGACAATCTGGCGAAGGTTCATTGTGAGCGTCATAAATGCTGCTGGAGGAATCGCCAACAGGTGAGGAGCAGGGAGGAGCGAGGAAGGCTCCACCCAGGTGAGGAGAGCTGATGCTGTGAAATTACTCAGACTCACCCGGATCACAACATTTATTCTAAATAAACTATAAATCTTAAACTGGACATTATAAAATGACCTGAAAAATCCAGTTTTTAAATTTTTTTACATGTGTTTAGATTTTAGAAAAATTACTTAAAAGCAACATTTTTACTGTAAAACAATATCCACGTCTGACCAATGCAGCATATCTGCTTTAAAGGGTTTTACAGCTTTTCGATGAAACATTTTGGGTTCAAAGATGAGAAGTGACCCACATCAGGGCTGAGACTGATAGATCGATGAATTTGAAGTAATAACTGAAGTGAGTGATCATGACTGGCTAATTCTCACTGACATCCTTCCAACAGGCGAGCTGAGGATGGTCCTGTATGGACAGAGTGGACAGGGTAAAAGTACTCTAGGAGGCATCATCCTGGGCAACAGAGAGATATTCACTTCTGATAAGGACTCAAAGAAGTGCCATAAGGGAAGAAAGACCATCACGGGTCGAGAAGTGGTTGTTGTTGACACTCCAGGTCTGTTTAAAGTGGACGATGACGGAGAGGAAGTGGTGGAAGAGATCAAGCGGTCCATCAAACAGGCTGAACCTGGTCCTCACGTCTTCCTGTTTGTGGAGAGGTTTAAAGAGATCTCACAAGAGAAATTAGACGCACTGAAGACTTTTCAGGACACGTTTGGTAAACAGGCCGTGGACTACACTATAGCGGTGTTCACCACTAAAAGGAAGAAGATCGACGACGCCATCGTGCAGAAAACACTGAAATCCCTCAGAAGATTAACCGATCAGTTCCAGCAAAGATACTTTGTTTTTAACATTAAAGACGAACAACAAGAGTCTCAACTCGCCGAGCTGCTGGAGATGATAAAAAAGATGACGAGAGAAAAATGTCAACCTTTCTACACGTCTAAGATGCTCCAGGAGGCTGAGGAAGCTCTGAAAACACGAAAGGAAACAAAACCAAAGCGAGAGGAAGAGTGGCGCTCTTTCTACGACCGGTGTGGTTTGATTGGAGCGGCGGTCGGCTGTGCAGCGGGGTATTTTATTTGTGGTGGTGAGCTGACGCCTACAACAGGAGCTGGGGTTGGAGCTGTAGTTGGTATGATGCTGTTCGTGGGAATAGCGTTTTTAGGCGCACTTGCTAAAATTAAAATTTTAGCAAGATAGATTTCAAACAGCGTCAGTGATGTTGTTGCTCACGCTGATCAGACCAAATCTAGTCTAGAAACCATAAAGAGGAAATCATGCTGGACGTATGTTTATGTGTTTTACTTTATTTTTGAGTTTTTTATTCTAAAAGTTATTTGTTCAGTCGGCTGCTGATTGGTTGAGCAGTTAAATTTTATATCCCAGGAACCGTTCATAAGACAGAACCAGCGATTTGCAGCATAAATATTTTCTAGTTGCTGCTGTTGCTTCAGTACAGGGAGAAGGTTCAGGGTTCAGCCTGGGTTCAGCCTGAGACACACGTCAATAAATAAGCAACAAGATGCTTCAAATAATATTTCTCAAATTTAGCTTTCACAGTCTGGGAGTCTGAAGCAGTTAAAATAGGATAAAAATAGGTGGACGTGACCCAAAACCCTTTTACGGGACTTTGACGGCATACTGAGGGAGGCTGGGAGTCCGAACACACGGTTGGTGCCTATTGTGTTAATTCCCAAACCAGATGGTGTGCACCGAAGGTGAAGGGAGCCATCAAGCTGAAGGATCCTGTTGGGCTTGGGGACTTGGGAATTCCTTCCCACTTCGGAGGCAGCTGACATACTGGCAGACCAAGCAGAACAAGGCTCGGTCAGTGGCTGAACCAAAAACTGGATGCTGGAAGATTTCAGGCCACAGAACAAGACTTTCGACTTTCTTTGCGTCTTGAAGCATTTATAGCAAACCGTCAGTCGACTAAAAAGGGGAAAGCAGTGCTCTGCTCACACAGTGTACAGCAGGATAGGAGGGTGTGAACCTCAACTGGGGGTAAAGTCGGGCAGTTGAAGGAATGCTTTGAGGACCTCCTTAATCCCACTGACACGTCTTCTGTAGAGGAAGCAGTCTGGGGGATAACTCGCCCCTCGCTGGTCACTGAGATAGTCAAACATCTCCACTGAGGTGACCAAGACTCAGGTCCTGAAGGCTCTGGATGTTATAGGACTCTCGGTTGATATGCCTTCGCAACACTGCGTGGAGATCTGAGGGGGTGTCTCTGGGCTGCAACCACAGGGAGATCGCACACCTCAGCCTCCCTGAGATCTGAGACTGGGAACTGGAAAACAGAGTTTGTTCATTAATCAAAGCTGCATACAGAACACAGGAAGACGCCCCCTGGGTGAGGTGAGCAGACCCAGAACACGCTGCAGAGTTTTCATCTCTGGATAAGAGAGATCAGGTGGCTGGAGAAAGTGCTTCAACTTTCACATGCTGTAAAAAGGTTTGGTGTTGTAAACATGTATATAAACATAATCCATTACCTGTATTCTAATGCATGTAAGACAGCATTTCTACTCACATACACATGTAATCCAGTATTTGTACTCTTGTATACGTTGCAGCATGTTTTCCAGAGCATGAGCACATATAATCACAGTCACATCTGTCCTGATGTGAACCCACAGGCTCGTACTGAGGAGTTTGGTAAACAGTCTAAATGATGACTTTTATTGTTATTGTGTTGTATTAAGTACCAGCTCTGCTTTGGATTTTGTGCCTTTGAGCAGCAAACATGTGAACATGCAGACAGACAGTGGGACGTGTCTGCAGACGTCTGTTAGCAGAGGAATATGTCCGTCTCATAGATGGACCTCGTGCATGTAATAAAACAGAAGCTGAAAGACAGACGTCTTCTTCTCTTTGTGTCCTGATCGTCTCTGAGCTCCAGGAGCTCCACAGGAGAACGCTCTCAGAGGTCCTCCTCTGGGAGATTGGATGGGCTGACCTGTTCACAGCTCAGAGTGCTGCTATGGAAGCACCTCAGCCTGGTTCAAGGATCTGGTTTGGAGGTGTGGGTGGGGGGGATAGGGGCTCTCTACAGTCTAGAACTTTCCGTGTTTCTCTTAAATGTGCTGCTGCTACCACTCAGTAAGATTACTGAACCCCACTGATAATTAATAATTATAGACCTTTTTTCTTTCATCCCTCATCAACATATTTGAAAAATGTTTATAAACAACTGAATGAATATTTTGTAACTTGTAGACTTTATGATAAGAACCAATCACATCACAGAAAGAGCTCCGAGGATCAGCAGTGACTCACAGACAGTTTTCTTGTTGATCTCACTGCTGCGTTCGAAACTGTTGACGTGATGATCAAAATGATTGTTTATTTTAGTATTTTCATGTGTTATAAGCCATAAAATCCTCTCTGCACTGTTACAAACCCTTCGTACACTCTTAAACACACTTTTGAGACATATCTTAGATATTCAGTGAGGAGTTATCACCTGAGTGATATGGCATCTGTAAAGCCTCTTAAATGTGTGAATAAATAATACCTTGGTGCATAGACTGGATCAGTGCTGTGCTGTTCAGCTATAACATGGTATTTATATTGTTATTAATGTTTTAGACTAGAAAATGCTTATTGTACCACAAAAATTATTAAATTCCAACAACATTCAGATAACCATGGGCAGCATAATAATAGATTTCACACAATATAAATTTAGTGATAAATCTGTGGTGACCTCCAAAGGCGAACCGCGATGTTTACGATGGGAATACTGCACGTCGTACTGCTGAGCTGCATCGATGAGATGAACTACTCGACGTCTCTTTTAGAGCTGAGCAGAGACAACATGGAAACATTTTTGTTTCCAAATGTCAGATTTGTTCATAGTTATCATCCTTTTCTCTCAAACTGGGTGAGCGAGTTGGAACTTTGGTATCATTTTGACAGTGATCTCAGTTTGATTTTTACATCAATAAGGCCACCAGACTAGCTTTACATTACTTAAACTATAAAAGGATATATATATATATATATATAGGTTAGAAAACTCCACCCATCCATTTTTCCCTGCTTATCCGGGGTCAGACCTCCCTCTCCCCAGCCAGCTCCTCAGGCTTATCCAGGGCAACACTACAGCGTTCCCAGGCTGGCTGGGAGATGTAATCTGTCCACATCTGGGTCTGCCCAGTCCTTCCACTGGGACATGCATCTCAGTCAGATGCCCAAACCACCTCAGCAGAGTAGTGTGAGAGCTGGAAAAGTTTGGTTTACAAAAGCTGGCAAATGGCACGGGGACTGCACTGATTTTAGATCACTTTAATAGTTGATTGCATACTGAGCACTCAAAATAATAGAAAAGGTGTTTGTGCAGACTTAGAGGAAGGCGTGCAGGAACGAGTGTAACAGCAGCTCTCACAGACAGTTGCTGCTTCAGGCGAGAGATGGGACACCAGACAACAGATCCAGATGTTGCTGATTTGTAGCAACATCTGAATCTGTTGTTAAAAAACTGCTTCATCATCAGAGAACTGAATCACATAGTTGTTCATATGATGATTTCTGCAATTGTTTGCATATATTTGAAAGAAACTACGGCTTCTTTGTAACCTGTGTGTGTGAAAGAGTTTCACCTGCTGTTGTCTTTTATTTGCACACGTTGCTGTTACTGGTGAAGCTGGTCTGGACTGGTGCTGAGTGAAGTGTATATAATGGTTCCTGGGTCAGTTTGTCATCTTTTGTCTTTGAGTTCAGGTCGTCCGTCTGTTTGGAGCTGTGAGTGTTGCTGCGTCGCTGTAAATGCACACATCATCGCATGTGTTTGTTTCTGCAGGCCATGTGATTTCGCCATAATCTCCTCCTCGGCTCTCCTTCCAGGTTTCAAACAGGCTAAACTTTATTAACACAGCCGCTCTTCTCCAGTCTTTATGACCAAACTGTGTGACAACCACTGTTGGTCAAGTTACTTGAAAAAAGTAATCAGTAACTAATTACTGATTACTTCCCCAAAAAAGTAATTAATTACTTTACTGATTACTTATTTTCAAAAGTAATTAATTACTTAGTTACTTAGTTACTTTTTAAAAACACGATTTACAACCTGAATAGGTGATAAA